ACGAGAGACAGAGAGCACGAGAGGGAAGAGGGTCAGAGGGAGAAGCAGGCTACCCGCCAAGCGGGGAGCCTGTTGTGGGATTCGATCCCGGGACTCCAGGATCATGCCCTGAGCCGAAGGCAGTCGCCCAACCAACTGAGCCACCCAGGCGCCCTCGTGGTATTATTTTTAAAACATTGTGATTCCCAGACAATGAGCCACCCACATTCCCATCATGTCCCTCATGTGACCAAGTCACAGGGCCGGGACCCCGATGGACTGTCCGGGACCTCAGCCCTCCCCCACCCACTCCTCAAGAGGGGCCTTGCTGCTGCCCAGTGGCCACCTTTGGGGCTCCCATCCTCTCTCTGGGGCCTGGCAAATCCCCACATTTAACTCAGGTCCCATCAAGTTGAACTGATGTCCATTCCTTTTTCTTGTGCATACCTCCTGCTGCTTAGAAGGGACCAGAGCAAGTGCCCTGGGAAGTCATGCACCTGCACTCCCCTAGCACCCGAGCTCTGTCTCCCAGAAGTGACTTCCCGAGACAAACGTCACACCTTTAGATGTGCAGAAAGGCATCCTACCCCCCTAGCCACAGCCTTCAAAACCTACGAAGGCCCATATCCCACGCACCATTAACCATCCCATTTCTCAGTGATGCCTTTCTTTCCCACATCCTGCAACTCCATGAGTCCTGCCAAGTCTCGTCTCTAGGAAGATGCCACCGTCTGTCTTCTGCAGGGATTCAGGAGAAAGTGCTGACTTGTTCCGTTACTGCCTTTTGAACCTAAACTTGGCATTCACAACAGCTCTATAGTGAAGGTTTTTAGGAAAACAGAGGGAGATTGCTCTGGAAGTGGCATTGAGGAGCAGGGAGGACACACCTTCCCACTCTGGACCCACCTAAGAGGGAGGGAGCAGAAAATCAGCCCTCCCTCGAGAGGCTGCAGTATCTTCCAGGAAGGACCAGGTATAGGACGTGAAGGGAAAGTTGAAAATATAGGGAATTTTGCTAATGATATTTCACTGAATGCTGGAGGGCTCAGTGGAAGGGTTTAATGAGTTGGTGGTGAGCAAGAAATTGGGAAAGAAAAGGGAATGAATGTCCAGAGCTCAGGAAATGGGGTAAACTAAGAGCTTGAGTCTTATAGTGATTGGCATAAATAGGATGTATCAGTTACCTACTGCTGCATAACAAATATCCCTGAAACTCGACATCTTACAATTCTCTGGGCCAAACTTGGGATCTGTTCATCTTTGTTCTGCTTGGTGTTGGCTGGGCACACTCAGACCAGGAGCCCCGCCCCCCCCGGCCGGGGGGTTGGCCGGCTGCTTGGCTGGCTGTCAGCAGGGACGATGGTGGTAACTTGCCTGTGTAATTCATCACCCAGCAGACTAGTCCAGGATTCTTGCGGGTTCCAGGGATCCCACATCTGCAAGTCCCAGATGTGGAAAAGCTTTCTGAGTCTCTGCTTGCCTCGCATTTGCAAATGTCCTACTGGCCAAAGGAAATCACACAGCTAAGCCCAGACTCAACTGTGGGAGGAGGACGTACAGGGTGTGCTTACAGAGAGACCATCCAGGTCCCTGTCACCTTCCTCGTGTTTAGGGCACAGGCACCATAGTGCCAGTGCTGTATGTTCGATACATATATAAAATACGGTTAAAAACATTTTTAAAACCCTGGTTGTCCACCTGTTAACTTCTCGCTGGAACATCCCCTCTTCCATTGCCCCCCCCAACTCAGCCTGACCCCCCCCCCACCCCAGTCCTCTCCTGTTTCACACAGTACTGGACCCTCCCTGACTTCTTCCTGCCCCTGCCCACATCCCAGCATGACTTGGGCTGGTGCCGCTCCTACCTTTTGCCCTCCTGTCTCAGAGAAGGGGTGTCGTCCTCCTCTCCCGGCTGCCTTTTCACCTGGGCCCTCTACTCTAGCCCCTCCTCCTCCCCCAGCCCCCCCACTTGGCCCCTTCTTGTTCTCCTTCGTTCTGTCTCCATGTTTCAATTGTCTCTCTGATGGTCGTGAGCAAGTGAGCATTTTTTCCCCATGTTTCTTTTTTTTTTTTTAAGATTTTATTTATTTATTTGAGAGAGAGAATGAGATAGAGAGAGAGCATGAGAGGGGGGAGGGTCAGAGGGAAAAGCAGACTCCCCACCGAGCGGGGAGCCCAATGCGGGACTCGATCCCGGGACTCCAGGATCATGACCTGAGCCGAAGGCAGTCGCTTAACCAACTGAGCCACCCACGCGCCCTTTCCCCATGTTTCTTAGCCATCTGTATTTCTTTTGCAATTTTCTACCTATATCCTTTGGTTGGTTGAAGGCTGGATGTTTACCTTTCTCTTGCTGATCTGTAAAAGCTTTATAGAAAATTATGTCAATTGTCTTACTGCCTTCTTGGTCTCCTCTGCTGTTTCTCTCTGCCCCGTACTGGCCAGTGTGGCCTGGATTTGCATCCCGTGTGCCTCCCCTAGGGAGCCCAGACATCCTCATGGCTTCTGCTTCCACTTAACATTGTGACTCCAAACCTCAAGAGAAATCTCCAGCCCTGAGTACCCAGCCAGACACTTAGAACTCAGTATCTCTAGAACTCTGTGCTTTCCTTTCTGCCCTCCAAACATGCCCTGCTGCCTTCCCTCCAAGCCCCATGTTCCTTGAAAGAAGTGTCTACACTTCATCACCTTCTACTGTCTCCCGATCCTAGGAGGCATTGTGGGATGGGGGGAGGTGCCATCTCTGTCACTGAGTGTCACTGAGGAGCTCAGTGACCTAAGTCCCCACCCCACTTTGGGCCATGAGCTCATCAGTGCAGTGAAGTGCTGAGACCAGAAATGTCCACAGTTCACACCCCATGATCTATTTAAAACCTCGTGTGTCTCTAAGAAAAACTAGCGCAGGCACATTTTCACCGTGGAGGAGAGGGTGGTCACACACCTCCACTGAGTCTTTTTTTTTTAAGATTTTATTTATTTATTGGACACAGAGAGAGAGAGAGCACAAGCAGGGGGGAGCAGCAGAGGGAGAGGGAGAAGCAGGCTCCCTGCTGAGCAGGGAGCCTGATGCAGGACTCTATCCCAGGACCCTGAGATCATGACCTGAGCCGAAGGCAGACGCTTAACCGGCTGAGCCACGCCGGGGGGTTGGCCGGCTGCTTGGCTGGCTGTCAGCAGGGACGATGGTGGTAACTTGCCTGTGTAATTCATCACCCAGCAGACTAGTCCAGGAT